CTAGTTTTTGTATCTTATTGTCGCCGTTTTTTGTAAAAAATATTGCTCGACGAATAATTAAGCTGTTTTTCGACCTTGTTACGAGAAGAATCATGGTCGTTTAGCAGATATCTAGACCTATACAGCACAGTACATATATTATATTTATTTATCCTATTAGACACACGTGTAATTGACAGTCATGCAAAGAAATGCAGTCATGCTCTACATTTTGTAATCTATCTAGGCATAGCTTTGAGTGCATAATTGTCAACAATATTCGTTTTTCGTGTTTAATCCAATATTTTAATCAGGTCATCATTAATTAATCTGTTTATCAAAATACCAAACGTAAGCTGGCCATGGAGTGCAGTTGCACGCAATAAGGTAATTGACTGGAGGAGGACGTTTTACTGTCTCCAGATACGATCGCGAAACTAGAGCGGCACAGGAGCGGCGCTAATTAGGGCTTATTGTCTAGTAATTGATGTGGGAGCACAGCGGCCATGCTGCGCACTCGTACCAAAACATCGTCAATCAAGTAAACTAGAGCTTTGACGTGACCTAAATAAGAGATGCTGACAACGTCTTAGCACATCAGAATAATTGCGTGAACTAATATATTCATCGAATGCGAGCAAGTACGGCTTATAAAGACATTGCCATTTGTCCAGCAATGTTTACTGCATTGAAATTAACTAAGGGCAACGAATTGAATACTCGCCAGACGATACCGCTCTTGAACTATAAAGTGGCGTCATAAATATTAGCCATACAAGGCGGCGCAGGCGCAACGACCCATATCAACGATCGCGTATAGATAGCAGATGAAATGTGGAAAACGTGCGCTCAGCCTTGTCCACGGCCATGTTCAAATTAATAACATAACAATTAATTCTAGCCGATTGTCAACGTTTTGTGACTTATATTCATAATGACTTGTATCTGAATTAAGTGTTGCCTTGTAACATAAATGGTAATCACCGGATTGTAATGCTATTCGCCATGCTGCATTAACTGACATGAATATCACAGTGACCGCTGCGTGCTCTCACATAAAGGTTGTGCTCAGATGTCTCTATAATCTAATACTCAATGTGGTGCGTGTGCTGTTTCCAAAGATTAACTTTTAGCACATTCAAGTACAGTAGGTAGCTTCGATTTTTATTTCCACTGTCCAAATTTTCTGCCTTATCAATTTATTCATGGATTGGATTTAATTTTAACGGTATTATTGAAGTCTCCAAATGCCATTAGTGGTTGTCTTATGTTAATACTTAGTCATATCATCGGGAAAATGTTACATGTAGTAGAAGTATAGTAAGCAAATGTCCACAGATCGAAGTAGTCCGCTTAGAAAGCCGTCAATGTGTTGAACAGTTTTTCACGGCACTAATTGTTAAGAAAGCACCGCGCAGTGCAGTGTGGCATTATCTGGTGTCCATCAGCTCTCCACGTCTCGCCACTGTCAGAGAGAGTGCGGGAGAAGTTTTCTAATAGTTGTGTTGTGACGGCACACCGGCACCGGACAGAATTGGAAACGAGACAGATTTCGCGCTAAACGTTGCCGCTAAGCGTATAGTACTAGTACTTACTTCAACACGCTGCACACATTATCGCAGTGTTCACTACTCACTGGATAATTATAGTCCCACGTGCACGTGTACCTTCTCGTTTCTTTGCCACTTTTCTTAGTAATTAGACTTTTAGCATGTGCCATACAGTATGGCATTCAATTATCTTACTCTCGTGAATTGGAGAGACTTCTTCAAACGAGTTCGGTTCGAGCACCAGGTGGTGCTGCTGCAATCAGGTGGTCCATGCAGGTTTAGGTAAAAATGGTTTGATGATTAAAAGATGTTTTCACAGCAGTTCGAAGAAGAGCTGTATCGTGTAGTGCGTGTGTGGCGAGAAAGTGCAGCAGTAATTAAATTGGGCGCCGCGTCGTGCTGACTGCGGAGCACACACTTAGCACGGAGAGCGGAACATTATTGCGTCACACCCTACAACATCTGCTCGCCTAGTACAGGGTTATACACCGCCGATTTAGTTAATAATTTACTGCTTAAATATCATACTAAAATATCCCTTGCATGTCAATGAAATTTATAACGATTCTTTATTTCTAAGTTCATCTTAGTTTTGACTGCATTAATTTAAACATTTGACAGTAACCCTGAACTGAAAGACTTCCAAGCGGTAATGGAGATTTAATAAAGTATTAAAAATAATATGTGACCACGTCGATGAATGTTGTGTTATGACAGATTAATTGAGAATCGACTTAGTCAGTAACTGTGGAAGTAATTAAACACAGCAGTGCGCCAGCCCTACGTATAAAGCTGAGTGCGCAACTCGTCACAATTAGGGATTAGCGAACATCGAGTTCAAAGGGGCAACTAGGTCAGCAGAGCTCTCCACACCCAGCACAATGGCACCGCCCACCCACATGGGGATTAGTGGCACCAGCCCTCGATGGTGTCAAGTTACGTGACGCGGGGATTGACAGGCTTTTGTTTCACGCGCTTCTACCCGTGACTCATATTCGATTATGCACAGAAAGACATAACTTTACACATTGTTGATTGTTGGTGAATTACTGTCTCATTAGTTTGTTTAAAGAAGTCCTCATTTGCTTAGCCGCGTCGCATTAGAACATACGATTGACGATGTTACGTCTCCGTGTATTACAGATGGGTAAAAGAGTCAGTCTTTTACAGAATGAAAGTCGGTATTGAGATGATTATGATAACTCGGTACTTTTCTATTCGATATACAAATAAAGAACCAATAAGAAGTAAAAACGACATGGCACCACGATCAGATTATGACTTGTCACGTAGCAGCGGTATCAGTACTTTGAGTACCGTAGCCGGGAGCCCCGGAGCCGGTGACGTAACGGTTCCGGTCCGGCTGCCGACGCCGGCGCCTGACTCTCCGATCCCGCTGACAGCCGTGACGTGTTCAATCACCATGCGAATAATGAGCCCGACGCGAGCGATTCACTCTGCAGCAACTGATTGAGAAGTCAACGTCGCTGTGACTCAATTAGGGAATGATTTTATAAATATTATCAAGTAGATCGATAATTAATTAAAATAAAGAGTTCCTTCATTTAATAACTAACAAGCTGTCTTCTTACTAACGTGACTTCAATTGTAGTGGAATTGACAAATATTGATACTTGTAAAAGTTATTCCTTTTGAAAATATTTTAAATGAAATGTCTATGAGTAATAAGGCTAGTACAGCGCCATATTGTGGCGATTTCCAATCTTAAATAGTTTGGTAAGTTCATAACAATAAATCGTGGGACGTGCGCACGCGCATGCTGCGGTTGTTAGGCCGATACCTATGACAATAAGTGAGAGCGATGTCGAACTAGCGTAGATAAAGAGGAACAAAAGGTCTACTAGCAGCGGAGTGCCGGCGCCGGCTTCGGCTGGCGTGCCTTCGTGTACCACGATGTTCTGCTATTCCACATAGCGTTAGGATAATTTGATTTCAATAAATAATTACAAGTAATAGTAACTTATTGCCTAAACGCGATTTAAAGGAACGCCAGTGTCCGGACGTTTGCAACCTAAAACGCAGACAGGGAAGATTTTTTGTTTATTTCCTTTATTTTACTTTATTTGCACTTCTGAGCCCCGTTTGTTATCGAAAGCATAATAATAATGAATGTCAGTAATTCGTCAGGCGGAGGTAGCAGCGCTCGGAGCGTCGCCGCCGAAAATGGCGCGGACATCCATTGCGGCAGCGATAAGCGGATAAACTCAACATTACCGTATTCAGGGCGCGCGTAGAAAGCTGCCCAATACACCGCTACATTAGAATAGGACTCTCGCCTTTATCCACCAGCGTTTAGAGTAGCGGCGGACAGTGCGCGCTCAGTTCCGTAACAAGATCCAATTCCGCTCGCAATGGGCGCAGCGCTACGTTACTTACGTAAGCGTCCTTTTTAAGTTTAATTGCAGTAAATGCACTCGTTTGTCGCAAATTGTGGCAGTTGTCGCAGTGGGCTGCGCCCGTTCCCACACTGCGTTTGACTGTTCATAGTTACACACTCGGACAATGTATGCATGAGTTCTGTCAACTTCAGTCACAGGTCACCCTTACCACAGAGCTCCGTTACTGACTACAGGTACACCTTATTAAAGTATGTCATGTGCATAAACGGTCTGTACAGTTATTTTGTATGCAGGAATAAGAATAGAAATTGATTCGTTACAAAGACACAACCTATACCTAATGTAGTGGATCACTTAGTTAGACCAGCTAACTTAGTTACCTAATATCTATCCCGCGTGAGTCACTCGTCCTGTCTGCAGTAAGTATTGTTCTATTGTCAGGTAAATAGCTGCACGATTATCTAACATTATCTGAAACAGTGGCGAGGTCGCATTCCGAGAAGGGCTCTGCTGGCCTCGACTGTCCATAGCGGGGCAAATAGTAAGCGTGGCTGCGCGGGCGCACCGCGGCGGCCACTAGCACGTGCTACAACTACACTCCACTAGTCACTACATGCTACTTAAGCTGCGTAATGTAAACGACCTCTACACCTAATGTTTCCATTGTTTACGCCACAGTAAGGGCTTATTATGCTGTTTGGCTGCTTTTAAGGCAACGATTGAAAAGTGGAGCGACTGATATAATAATGTGATAAGTGACAAATCAAGTAGGTACTTGATTTCTGTCAACTCTAGCCTTCACAACACAAGGACCTCAACAATTATATCTTGAGACATTCTCTGTATTTGTTGGAGCTGTCGCTTGTCCTATATTGTATATAATAGTATTTTCTCGCCAAGTGGGGCAGTATTATTGCTCGGAGCACTTTCCCGCAGTCGGCTCTGTGTGTCTGTGTCTAATGCCTAATGGATCTCTTGGTGAAAATCTCCTAACTGTCAAATCACCGCTTTACTGTGTGAGGAAGTTATAGTAATTCACCGATACACAATACAAATTGTATGCATACTAAAGTGATACTAAGAATAATAACAGAATAAGTTCTTTACTTACCAATTTCTTTAACTAATGTCTTCTCATCCTACAACCAAGGGTGAACTGAAACAAACAGACAGATTACATTACAATTTTGCTTAAAACCTAAATAAAATTACTAAATTATGTATTCAACCCTCTACAAAATCTGTGACATGTCATTAAGGATAAATATTACATTCTATTTCACGTTCCTACCGAATCGACTGAATACAAACAAATGCAAGTAATGTTTGTTTTGATTGCAGAAGCAAAGTGCACCGTTTTCCGGGGCGGGGTGACCCACCCACAGGCCGGGCCGGGCGGGCGCGGCGCCACAACGTACAACTAACCAGAGCCACAGCTTTCTCCGGTCAATGGCTAGCTGCAGATATTTCGCTAACCACTAATGCCACTGCCGATATCGTTTACACAGATAATATTATGCACACACCGTCACGACCTGCTCCGCTTGCTGTTTGCAAGCTGCCAAACATTATTCAAGATAGTTTTAATTCATTCTCTGATACTATTTGTTTGTAAACTCAAAGGGAAGTCAAGGTTACTTACTTACACTTAGTACTTAGCATAACTTATTCGACATCTGTTAAGCTATTAGCATTTCTAAGCTCCGGTGGGGAAAATTTAGTATGCAGGCAATAATAATTCATTGTAAACGAGTGACGTCACTGCACAATATCAGCGCAATCATTCAAATCGCGGAGTCGATGTGAATGTTAACTTGGCTAGTTTCAACACTTGTTGCACTCATCATCCATTTGTTTGAATAAGTGTAAAAGATAAATCCTGCTATCTCTTTTAGGGCCCTGCTATCCTGGTAGTCACTTGACTCGAAGCTAGATGTAGCTCCATCGTGACTTCGCTTCCTCATCGGATTATAAACTGGCCAGACCGGGAAACACACAGGATTATGGAAATGTTTATTGCAATCGGAAAACTTGATAGTCTCGATACTTTACTGTTAGATAACCAATCGATTGCTTGCTTCTACGACCCGAGCGTTTCCGATCTCATTCCGTTAATTATAATAATTTATTCGTCAGAAGACCGATTTGCGTCCATAGTGTTTTATTTCATTTTATTAATCTCAGGTAATATGTTACGAGATTTATCAAAGTCTTAGATTCTTACATAAATGTGCAAGGAATCAAAATTTTAATATTAGACGGTCATTAATAAAATTGTCGCAATTAATAAAATCCTGCTTTCGTAAAGTAGGTATCAGAATTACGTGTTTCATCAAATTATGTGTGGTCAGTACCATTACTCAACTACTTTATTTAATCTGTACAACACGCGGAACTTGTTAACTTAAGGTACCTAAGTTGTAAATTGAGTGAAAAGATTTTTTACAACCTTTTTTGTCTGCCTAAATAGTTTACTTAAATAAGTAGGTAAATAAGAAATGGTACTTTCCATTTAATTTGCACAAAATAACAAAAGTTGACATTAATATTCCCACTCGGTGCTTTAAAGAATTTCCAAAACGATGGAATTCCCATTATATCAAAGAGCCAATTTTTCAGTCGAAATCCTTTAGTTCAGCTTTCTAACATTTACTTTCTTCGGTCACCTGTACCCCTAGTAGACGCAGGTTACAAACAGTAGACACGAAATATTAGCGGCGACGTATTACACCATCTTGAATACATAAAACAAACTAAATATGAATATTTTAACACTAATTTGCATAGCGATCGGTCGGAAGCTGTGATAAATGTGGAGTGACCCGACCGCGGCGCGCGCGCAGACAAACTAAACAAACATGCGCGTGCGCACTGTCACGCACGACACGACACCGCGCCTGTATAATATTTGTTCTGCAGTGAAGCTGTCCTGTGTTTGCTCATTAGTCATTAGTAACGGGTCAATTAATTACTAGAGCTCCTTTGCCGTTAATCAGTTAATGGCAGAATAACCAAGAGTTTGAAGATCCTGATTAAACGCTGTAAGAAAATGCTGATTGATTTGTTTAACTGTTCATAACCATCGTGTTTTCTTTTTTTGGAATTTAGGAGGTTCAATCGTTGTCCTACAATCTATGTACATACGACCAAGTACTGTGTACACAATTTTTTGTTTTTTATAATTAGCACATTTTTGACTTCACAAAATATTTTTTTTAATTAAAAATACTCAATAACTTCAGCTGCAGTCTAGTGCACGATAGAGTTAGTCTAGTCTGAACGGTAAATGCATAGTGCGATGGACACTGGTACAATCACCGATAGCGGTGCTCGCCTTGACCGTGACGCATCGAGGCGAGAGTGAAACCGTTGGCGGGTACAGCCGCGGCCGCCGCGCTCTGCCGTACACTGCATGCGTTACTTGCAATATGCACTGATTGCAACTGGTGCACGTTATCAAAACATTACTTACCTACACCTCTAATAAATATGATTTAATTTCTTATTTAGCCCAAGAAAAGTAAGTGAGGGAGAGACATGATTCGGCATGAATGGGCCTGCTGGACCGGAGTGTTGCCACGGCCCCGCAGAAAACCGGCGTAAAGCCACTTACGCTTTGTTTCGTCGTATGAGTGAGGTTACCGGACTCACAATCGTTCCCTCTCCTCCATCCCCAATCCTCAAATCTCCTATCCTTAAATCCCTAATATTCTACAATATGTTGGCAACGCCCTTGTAGTAACTCGTTTGGTATTATGAGTTTCCATGGGTCAGCTGATTGCTTACCACCAGGTAATCCGACTGCTCGTTTACCGGCCTATGACATAAAAGTAGAAAAATATATAAACAAAAGCTTAGTTTCAAGAATCCTTGAAATTTGCAATAGTCATACGTTTTAACGAGTCTGTCTCGTGTGAGTGATGACCGGCATATCCACAGGGCCAGTAATTGCACTCAGCTCCAATTAGCACACATCACGCAGCTCCGCGAGATAACATCGAGAGCTTCAATAACAGTTAGATATCTACCATTGTAAAACTGAATAACGTGATTTTGCGAATAACTTGGTCGTATTGCCACGTAATCCTAATTATAAATTAATATTAATGAGAAATAATTCAATTTGACGTAAAGAATAGTATATGGTTGTGTAATAAGTAGGAACTGTGCAAACAAGCGTAGACGCCACCCTACTTTGGAAGCGACAAAACGGAAATGGATAAAGCTATTAATCCATTATTTCGTCAAGAGGGGATTCCGCCCCAACACAACACAGGGGTCACATGTCGTAAGTGTTGTAAAGAAAGGTCAGTGCAACAGGTGAGATCATATCACGCAATTATTGTAAGTCTGCGGCCATTAGCCTGGACACAAGATTATGATCACCAAGTAGGTGACGTCACTGCAGTAATGAATTGATGGATGATCCGGCCGGCCAACTCTGATTAGTCGGTCCCTTATCCGTCCGTGATTGATGGGCCCACTCTGTGACTCCTCTATTGTGTCAACTTGGTCGCGCTTAATTTGAATACTCGTGTAGTGCGATTAACGAGACACTTTTATTTATCCCAAAATAGCTAGGCTATTTGCCTTAAATAATATGTTTGTTTAAGTCTACTTCTCAATAATCGAACTGCAAGCTTGTAAACTTACATACAGCAATACGATTCATACGTAAAGTATTCGCAGACAGTACGTCGTGCACATTCGGTAAGCAGCACATAATGCGTGTCACGCTTTGTATTCTTGGCCATTGAACGCGAAATGACCATACCATTACCATACGAGGCATATTAATGGCACTCATTGAATACAATGTATACTACACACTGGCCTAACTCACTACAGCAGTGTGCTGAAGTGAACAACGACCTTACCACATCGGGGCAGCGGCGGCGGGCGCTCGAAGCGCAAACACTTTGACAAATTGCTACTTATACTTGCCCAAAAGGATTACGTTGACAAAAAACGGTCGAAGGTACAGACAGACAAGCTGATGCATGAAGACAGATAGTGGGGAAAGGTTAATCCCTACCTTTTGCAATAAATAAAGGAGCTCAATGTAAAGCGATGCTTCTCAGCTTAATACGAAAGCTGGATCTCCGAGGTACCAGGACCACATAAACGTGCAGAATAATGTAATTACTTCCTATACCACAGTGACAGCGTGGAACGATGAGGTATGTCGTAACGCCCATAATAATCAGTATTAGTAAATTTCTAAAGAAGCCACATTAATTGACCCTCAAGGTCTTCGGACCATACAATCGCATCTCTGTCGACTTGACGTATTACTGTATTGCCACACTTTCCCCGCACGTGCTATGATGACTTGAATGAATCTGCTAAACACACAGTCATTACATCCAATACACACGACTGCTGTAAATAATGATGACAAGCAACGGAAACATGGGATTATTGAGAGATGCCTATTGTAACCAGGTAAAATGACTGCGAGAAAAAAAAATTGAAGTTTTGCGGTGTGTCCAATCCTAATTTGATAATGCTGAATGAATTGAAGACTTCGAAATAAAACAGATAGAATTTTATAAAGGAAACATAAGAATAACGCATAATGATGACGTAGTTGCATAAAACGTCTTAAATTTATCCTGATACAGGTGTCCGGCTGTAGAAGAACAAAAGAATTTCCCCACCGCAACACATCGTCTGACTCATCAGGAAAATCTTAAAACTTTCCTAGAGAGAGAGAGTGACTATTAACACCTTCCTACAAATAAAAATATTAGTCACAGGTTTAATTAGTAAACAGAAATAAAAGCGGCAATGTCCTGTGCATTAACACACGGACACCGGCGTGTGTTGTGTGTGCAGCGTGACGTGCACGTCATTGATAATAACATAAACAATGCGCCGCCTCACAGTCTGACACTACTACACAACCGTGTTGGGATGTTCCTTCAATTATTTGCTTAATCTGGCTATCATTGTAGGACTCAGAGCATTGTAATCAGTAATTTACATACATGAAATTTATGAGGGTCGTTGTGTAACTTTTGGGATTATGAAAAAGTAATTTGTAAAGGACAACATAGATGGCTACATGAGCATTTCAAGCCTCGAGATATTCAGGTTGACCTTACATTCAGCAGCAACAACACGCAAAAAGGTGCCCGTTTGTAGTGTATCCAA